GAAGCTGAGAGGGGGGGAGGCGGGTTGAGAAATGGGTCTGTCTTTGTAGGTATCACCTTTTTGTTGATTGGTTTCAAGGGAAACCGGGAGCCGAAATGAATCGATGGGGTCCCTAGGTGACGCAAACCCAAAGTTGATGTCCAATTCGTTCCAGGCATCGTTCTTGAAAACGAACTTCTAATCCCGAAACCTGAAATAAGGGATCTCCAGGCAAAGACCTGCATCAAACAAACCTTCCACGTGAATGGTTCCGCAAGAAGTGATCCAGATCCCCTCTTGAGTGGGAGTGGGATATGTTGATTCCCATTGACCTCTTTGTCCTCCGCCCGGTACATGTTCAATTGACAGGATCACAAAAGCAATTGCCTGGCAGCCCGTAGCGGCATGCTGCCTGGCTTCCACCTTCCCCTTAAGAGGATGACGAAATATGACGCAACCAACACTGAGCTGCTGTCCTCAGATCCCCCGCTAAAAGTTTAACTTTTAGTGGGCTAAATGGAAAACCCCACGAAACACTAAAAAGCTAAAAAGCTAAGGGGATGGCTGGGAGCCATCAAGAACATGATGGATTATACCATGTACTCTCACCTCACTGGCCTGGATTCCCCATTGAACAGTTGCATTGACGAGTGGAACAGTGGGCTCCGACTGCTAAAGTCCGTGACCACTTGCTGGTTGAGCTGGACCATGAAGGAGCGCGACCAAGCAAAGGGAGCAACGCCCTGAGTCCCTTCTGATCACCAGGCAAGTTTAGGTCCAATCTGGACTGTTGACGGCGGGACCACGCCTGTCTTTGGTGAAAACAGGCAACTTGTTACAAGGCGACAAGTTGCAAACCACTCGAACTTCGGACATGGAGGTCCAACAAAGGTAGACTGCTCTGACGACAAAGAAGGGAACAAGGCGGATAAATGTCATATCATACCACCACAAAACCGGGGTTTCCCAGAAAAAAAAACAAACAACGCCAAACCCAATCCCCCTTTTTCCGAAATAACCGCACGGGCTCGAGTCATCTCGGGCCCAGGCATCGGTGTTCAGGTGGAACCAGCGCTGGGCCCAAGTGGCGGCGATGCGCAAAATGTACCTCACGACAGTTGGCCATTCGGACTTGGCAACAAAACGGTCTGGTACGTGAAACACCCGGAAAACCAGGTTTTCGAAACTGACCTTCCTTTCTTGTGGGTTTTTAATTTACAAGGTCATCGCCTTTCGGGATGCTGACTAAACACGGGAACGAAAAGAGGAGAACCAAGGACACAAAAAGACCTTCCCAACACATGCAATTATCTTGCTCACTTGCCAAAAGAAAATTGAAATAGAAGGTGATTAGCGTTTAGGACCTTCGGAAAGAAGGAAAGGGGAAGGGGCAAGTTGCTTTGGACAACTGAGCGAATGGGCACCCCAGGGTAAGGGGCAAAGTTAAATCACCAGACCGCAGGTTCTAGCCCTTTCCGTTTACCGGGCAACCCATTTTGAAAATGTGGGGGTCATGGGCAGATCCAAGCAGCACATCCAAGTAGAACCCGCGGGTTGATTTTCTAATTTCGTACGAAGTTGTGGGCACCTAATCGAGCAGAAGGTCCAGAAGGTCTAGATTTAGCCACCCATCACATGCCCCCTGTTTGCAGTTCTATTGAGAACCCTCCCTAAAGAAAAAGCTGCACCACCTCCATTTGTGGATACGTCCCCTGGAAAAATGTGAACTTATCTCCTGTGATGCAGCCCCTTTAAAACCTTAACAGGGGAAAGTACTATTAAGCAAATAAAAGACATGGTGCTTCCAGGTGTTTCGCCACGGCAGAGGGCTTTCGGATTTCCTTTGAACAGTTGTCATCACCCAAATTGGCGAACAAAATGGCTATGTTAAGAACCGCGAAAGGGTGAACTCTGTAGATACCCGGGCTCCCTCCCCGAATTGTTGCATGGTTCCCCATGAATGTGTGGACTCCATGTAGCAAGTTATTAATAACCTTGCGACTGGGACTTAACCCACACACACACACACTCACACGCCCAGACACACACACACACAGACGGTTGGGAAATGCATATTTCTGTGATACCGAAGAGGGTCATGCCTACGACTACTTCGTCGCTTTCAGGCGAGCCCCCCCGCCCATTGAAATCCCCCCTTTGGCCAGTTGGATGGCAAAGAGTCCGGGTGCTTGAGATCGGTGTATGTCCAAGCCCTTTTGCTGGCCATGATCCCAGGAAGGTCTCTTGCGTTGGAGAAGGCCCGCGTATTATGGCGTAAGAGGCTTCCATTTGTGTTGAGGAAATTCTCCCTTTGGGACTTAGCTGAGGGTTGGCGACCATGGCTGTCACGACGGAAGTGGCTTGCACCCAGACCAAATCCAACCATGTAGCTACTGCTCGCTTGGCCTTCAGGCACCTGGAAATAAAGGGTGTTCACCTGGATCAACCTTTTGGGACCAAGACTTGGAAAACCAAAATCGGGACCACCACCATTTTCCTTGTTTTTCTATTGGACTCGCCGGGCGGCAAGTCCATGCAAATCTGCGGCCGGATGCCCGGCCTGACGGGGGAGTCGTCTTCGGGGGCGGGAGGGGGGGTCAGGGGCCCCGGGATGTAGGGAAACCGGGGCGAGTCTTTGAGGGTCTCAAAGTATTTTGAGAGGCCAACTTGGCTATTGAGTGGGGTCCGTGAGACCTGGGACCTTGAAAAGCTGATTGCTTTTGCTTGGGGTTACCTCGTTTAAAACCCGGATGACTGCACGGATTGGAATATTTTGCGGTTCTTTTTTCAAGCTCCTTAGGTACATCATGTGGTCGTATTACCCCATTGTTTCAGTTGCGTTTTTTCAAGCAAGGGACAACCTTTACTTCATGTCGATCGACACCACCAAAGCAGCCCTAGAAATAAGATTGGCCTTGCCAAAAAGTGATCATATGACAAGATCCACGGAGACATATTGAACAAATAACTGGCTGGGAAACATAGCGACATAATATTATGGTGGCCCATGTTTGTTTGTGAAGCAGTCGGAAGGGTGGTTGGGCTGCATGATTTGTTCAGGCCGGCAAATTGTGTGGTGGATTTGTATATATATATACATATATATATATATATACACACTCCATACAAGCAAACCTGTGCATGCTATTTACAGAAGACATCGCAATTATTCGGAAGTTCAGCAAACCAAACATACCTAAGGAATCCCCAGGAAAGGGATTCTCATGGCTGAGTTTGTTTGACCCCAACGAATTGAGCCGAGCCAATCATCGCAGTTTTAGTGAGTTGCCCAGTGCCGCTGGTAGATCAAGAATTGGAACCCTTTGCGGTGTTGACCAGTTCAGGAGTGGCACCAAACAACTAGTGTCACCTGATTAACTGGGATCGCCAAATCGCATCACCCAGTCACACTGTCCGGCTTTCTATCTGCCAACTGAGCTAAGGAATCACTGACCAGGTCTGCTTCAACTCTCAGTTTCACATCACCGCATCGTGTGAGTTCACAACCCAGACCTCCAGCAGATTCTCAATTGTTGCGCTTCTGTAAGTACCGGGGATAGTTCCCGCCAAGGACAGGTGGAACGGAATCAGGCTATTTGAGGTCTGGAACTCACCGAACGAATGAATTAGCCCAACAACAAGTCCAAACCTGTTGTTTACCACTAAACTAGTTTTAACGTCAAACTCAGGGAGGGAGGTAGAGAAACCGACTGAAGCAGACACGAATCATGCCAAACGCGCGGGCGCAATGAGAAGCGATTCTAAGTTGAGGGACTTGGTCCGGTCAACAGGCCGCTGGCAAGGAGCATGGAGCCAGTGGTCCAAATCGGGGAACAGCTCGAAACCCAATTTACTAAAGGTTGCAAAATAGACTCCCAGTGTTTACATGGACCCCCCCCCCCGCCCAAAAACAGCGTGATTCCCTTTGGCGTTCTTGTAAAACCCTAAATGGAGTACACTGAAACCGGAAACAGCAAAATCAAATTGCTTTGCAACTGCGAGGAGGAATGCAGTGAACAGCTGCTCGATGCTTGTCTCTGATCCCATACATCAGCAAAGTTGCTCATACTGGCCACACAACAAGATGATGTCCACTTCGAGAGAATAGACACATCTATCAAGGCTACACATAATTCTCGATTTGCACACCGTGCAGGGAAGGGACATGGGTGTTGTTATTTTCAGGGACCCCCCCGCAAACAATAAACAAAAACGCTTGCTTTTTCCCAAAACAAAGGAAGCGCCAAACAAAGACAGACCCAAGTGTTCTTCGTGTTTCGGCGGGGAAAAGCAGGGTGACTCTTAAACAAAAGGCGAATTCCAAACGCAGCTCTGGACCTTGCCAACGGTTCTCTACGCCGGGTTCTCCGGGTGAAGTGAAGCTGAGCCCAGCTCCCATTTGCCAAGTCCACTTTTGCCATCAAAACAAACATGTGTCCAGTAGTGATAGATTCCCTTTAAAACCAACCAGGGAAAATACACAAAACGATTCCATCTCAGCAAGTGGAAGCTAATAGTTCCTGGTAAGGGAAAGGGTAGTTCGAGAGTTTAAACTGCCTATTTACCACTTGCATGCTCTTGCGAAATGTGTTTTCTTTGTTCCCAGTGGAACTCAGGGAGTGAGCCAAGATCGGCTTTCATAATAATCACGCTGGTAAACCAAAACGAGCTAGTTTCGATCACCTTTTCAACACTGGTATCACAAAAAGCAACGAACCTAGGTGTGGGGTGTGCTGCGCCAATGTTTCAACTAGCGATTTCGATGCGCCCAACTTGATATGTGCCATCGAAACTTGCCAAGGGGTCCTGCCTGTGGGCTCCTCAAACATGCATCCCAGATCAAAAGCCATCTGTATGCTGCCCAATATGCTTTCTAACATATGATATGAGTAACCGACAACAAAACCCACCCAAAAAGGATAGGGGCCTTACCCACAACTAATACCTGAGTGATGTTGTGTGTTGCTGATAATGGGGGGATTTGTGTTTGGTCATCTTCGACGGTATTCCTTACCCGTTTCGTTTCCTTTCAGCTGGTAGCGCGCTGCACCTCAGAGCATCGCTACGATAGACTCTTGCTCACTGGTGCTTGGCCGCGGGTTTTCGATCCGATACCTTGGATCGCGGGAGAGGGCATTGGTTGGCCCCACGAAATGCGGGGGGATTTGGGGGGCCGAAGGAAATCCAAAAAGGAAGACTCACACCCAAAATGGGTGTCCCGCAATTTTGTGGACCTGAAAACAACTAACTTCTGAAGTGGACAAAGTCCTAAACTGTCAGTTTGCCGCAAAACGGGTCCTCCCAACAAGTATGCAGTCCAAAAAGTCAGGGAGCAAAGGGGTGTGCCCTTTGATTCGCTGCATACCCTAAGAGAACCTTTAAAAGGGGTCACTACTCGAAAAAACAAAGAGCATATTCCCAGTAGTGATAGATTCCCTTTCAAACCATCAGCGACAAATACAAATCTTCTCAAACAAATGGAAGCAGATGGGCCGGGACTTCGCCAAATGCAAAGGGCACCCTTAGTTACCAACTTCCAAAAACTTACTACCCCATGGCTTCGGTGCGTTTTTCTCCGTACAATCCACACAGCCAAGTCCGGGACCATCGCAGTACCCCTGACCCAACCACCCGGTCAGGTTAACAAGGTGTGTTGGAAAACCGGTGCCTGATTCATCCAGACGCGTCTCTCATGGTGGGCCCGTGCTGTCTTGCCCTGCGTATATATTGGTCCCCTTTTGGTTGCAACTTGGGTAAAGAGCAACGTATGGGCTATTGATCTCCAAACTTAAAGGGAACATCAGTGCTTCATATGCGCCTGTCCCTTAATCCCTAGAATGTGTCTACCATTTGAAAATCATGCCTATATGGGGAGTAAAAAATAGGGGTACCCCAAAACGTGATTTTTCGTAAACAAAACACATTTTGGGTATGGGTCAAAATCAAACCACCAAACAAAACTGTTTTCGTCCTTTCCATCTACCAGGGCAACCCATTTTGGGGTTACCCTACTTTTGATCCACCCGAGATCTAAGTAGATGGCTGATTTGGGTGTCATGGGAAGCCCACATCCAAGCAGCACATCTAAGTCTAACCCTGCTTGAATTGATTGCGCAAGGCTTTTCATTTTAGTGGGAATCTGGATCACTCTTGGGACCCCATGATGTTGATTGCTTTTTGTTCATTGTGTTTTTTCCCTGATTTTAGTAGGAATCCGGATCACTCTTGTCGGACACCCCATAGGATTGTTGAACTTAACCTGAGACCAGGATGCTCCAGGAGCTGCTCCTCATGGATCTCCCGGAGCCGCGGGGTGAAGGCAGCGAAGATGTCCTCTCCGCGTTTTACTTTTGGGTGCTGTTTCAGCAACAAAGGGAAAAACAAAACGAACACGTCGGGTGAAGGGTTGTCCATTTCTTGGCGATTTCCTGAGTTTCAAAGGACTTCGGAAATGAAAGGTGATCATGACTAAACATGGAAACCAAACAGGGGGACCAAAAGGTCAACAGGTCGATTGGATTTGGGCAGGTGAGTTTCAGAAAGGGACACCCTCCCCCCCAAAAAAAAACAAATATGCGGGTTGACGGTTTGGCACCCCACGAAAGGGAACAAAAACTGGTGGCTTCAGAAGCAAGAACAAATTGGCTTGAAGCGCAGCCAACAGGGAAAACCACCAATCTTTGTGAGGGTCCCATACTTTGATACACAACATATTTTCGAGTGAACGGGTTCGTCTCAAAGGCGTCCCTCAACAATAAACGGCTTTCCTGTTGTTCCCTGTTGAAACCACCCAAAGAAAGGGGTAAGAGAACAAAGCACCCTTCTTTTCTTATCAGCTTGTGGACCAAATTACAGTGACATTCTTGTTGGAGATGCAGAAAACCCTGTCAAGGACCGGCACCATTTTGATGAGGGCGTGTCTTTTGGAAAAGCACCTCTTTTCAGCTTGGGTACTATTAAAGAAAAGCCATTGTGAGCCCCCCTACTGTGACACCAGAATTTGGTGTATCAATGCCTATCTGAGGATTTGTCTCAAAGTGGAGCCCTCAGAAAGGTTCGGTCTCTCTTCAAAGTCGCCTGGGCTGTACAAATTAAGGATTGGCGGGCTTGGAAAGGCCAGCGTGCTTCCTTGTTTCCTGGTCAAGGTGAGAGGATGGGGCCTCGGGGAACTACACAAATGGGTGCGTTCCATCTGACACCCATTAAACATTAACAAGAATGCAGCATGGTAGGGGGCAGAGTTCAGCCAACCCCGTGCTCAAACAGGTTAGACCGTTGTTTGAAGGTGTCTCTTAAAAAGAACCAAGATCTAGCTGTTCAACTAGACAAACACCCTTGGCCAGCACTGGGCAAAACGAGAGGCTTGTTTTTACTCACTTGCCCAAAGTTGGGACCTTAACTTAGACAAACAGTGGAACAAATGGAAAACCAAAAGGTCCGATGCGGGGTGTGGCCAACAGAGAAATACAAACTAAGCGTTGAGCCTCGCCGCATCCCCAGCATCCACCCGAAAAATGCCCACTTTGGTTGTCAAAAGCCTGGGGTTTGATTCTCTGAGTTTGAGACAGCAGAAGCCATGACATGACAAACAAGATTTGCAAGAAGCAAGTCCGTTGTTGGACTGGTTTGTTGGGAATAGGCACCAGCTGGAAATTCCACCAGAAATTTGTAAAACACATGGCTTTTAGGCGGGCTCTGGGCGAATTTCTCGTTGCTTTCTGTGAAATGCAGTTGCAGTGGTCATGAGATATGTACTCAACCCTTGCAAGCACCTTGAGGGAATGGATAGGAAAACCGTATCCTGGAAATTGTAGTGATCGGGCATCGGGTTAGCAAATGTCCCAATTGTCTGCCTCAAAGGGCAACCCAGTCTCACCTGCCCAAAGGACCTAGAACGAAAAGCTTAGTTTCGAACCTTGACACTGAAAGTGGACCAAATCACAAAACCTAACAGGTTGGATCCGGTGGATTCGCGTTGCATTTGAGTGAAATAGGGATACCAAGACACGCACCTTCATGAGGACCAGGTTCTAAACCCAAGGTATAAGGTCGCCAGTATCTGTCTCACTTGAGTGAATTGCCCCCAATACTCTACTGTAGAACCAGAGGGCGCAAAAGAGACCAGATTGTGCCAGATATTAGGGTGTATGTTTTTTACCCAAAAAGGGTCCCAACTGGGACTTCAATCATAACTCATAACACATGTATTTCTTTGCTATTTCTTGTTATTTTCACAAAGCCTTCAAGTCACGGCAAACTGTTTGTTTAAGGCTGAATTCATCTTCCAAAAAGTGGAAGACCAAGTCAAAAACGGAACTCTGGGCATCCCCCTCCAAAAATACAGGGGGGCCTCCCAAAAAGTGGTTCTCCTGTTGGTTGTCAAAAAAGGTTCCTTGCGCGCGGCGCCAAAAATGAAACACGCACATTCCCTCTCCTTTTGCCTGAGCACAGAAGAATGATCGGCCCAATTGCGCCGTCTTGGTTGCTTCACTTCCAGAGGGCCTTCCCCAAAAGTATTAAGTGCAAAAACCGGCGGAAGTGCAAAGCCCATCCAACACCTGGAAGCGGAAAGAAAAAGAAGAAGTTTGTCTCATAGGCGATGCCTTGACAAAAATATTCTAGTGCCCAAATGCTTGATCTTAGACCACCAAAAAAAAACAGACCTTTGGCTGATCCTCCATCTGAAACAAAGAGGAACATCCTTGGAAGGACATGGTTTCTCAGGGTTTTTCTTGGGAAAACCACGGCATGGCATACGGGAACTGCATGGGGGCCGATTTTTTCCCTCGTACCCCGGGGGTGTTGCTCCTCGAGGTCTGCGGGCCCCTGGGTGTGAAGAGAAAGGACACTCCGCAGGGAAGGAATCTCCATCAGGGACAAAATGCATTTCACGTGCGAGACATGTAACCCTCGAAAACTCATTTCAATTTGGACCAAAAGGAGACGTTCACATTCACCAAGGGCAACATAAGGTTGACCCAGGATGAATAAATCCAGTTTGTTTATACAGGGGGCTTCTCGACTTGCGGAGTCAACACCCCCCCATTAATACGACGGGTTACACATCCGGGGTTAACGTTGATTACAGGTATCAACGTCAAACACTTGGTTGTTTGTGAGGTTCCACTCATTCTTAGCGCAGGCTAAACAAAATGGAGGCCATCTTTTTCTGTCACCGAACAGAACGGACTTAAAGGGGTACCACTGCACATCCTTACCTACGAGCCGTGGAACAGTCCTTGTTTTAATGGGTGGCAAGTGAAGGAAGTCCCAGAATCAAAGAGTAATATGGTCCGATCCCAAAAAGGGATGAGACTCTCAAACCCATCTATATACAGGGAAGCAACCAAAACCCACTCCCCTCAAACCAATCTGTAGGGCTGCCCGTCGCCATAGCGAGTCAACATGAACCCAACTGAGGCAACCAAAAGGCCTAAGGCCAAGGTCGGATCAATGCGGATACTAATCTGGGTGGACCTCCAAATAAGGAAAGTGTCACTCGAAGCAATCTTCAGATTGCGGGGCGCCGAATTCGGGCAGTCAACCGTTCTGTCAAAGGTTCAAACCGCGAGTCGGGTGCGCGGCTATGACTTTTTAGAGTTGGAACCGCTTCAAAAGTTGTTTGTGGACATGAATGCATGGATCCCAATCGAATTCTGATGTCCACCGTTTGACGCCGCATGGGGACTGGTCACAATGAGGAGGGGGCCTGGCAGTTTTCCTCTTTCCCTTTAAAACCAATGCGCTAAAGGGTAAAAAACAACATGCTTCACAACCACAGCAGTTCGACGTTCGTGTTATTTTACTTTAGAAGCACGTGAGGAGCCTTGACATTCCAGCGCTTGGACATATCGTGTGAATGGTACTGTGGATGTCAAATTCCACTTCGCTCCAGAGTTGGGCGGATGAAACCCTACAAATATTGGATCCCACCTGGTGCGAAAGGATTTGTCCATCCACAGTAGGTAGCTGCCAAACGGACCAGCGACGTCAGCCGACTTTTTAAAGGGACACCGCCATGATCGACCCCGGAGCAGTCAAAATCTGCGTGATGAGTTGCTCCCACCGCCCCCCGGAGCAAAAGGTCGATCATCTTTCGTAGGTTTAATGGAAAAGCAGTTTGCTTCCAAACATCTTAGGGGCGATTTGGTCACGAAGACCACCAAAGGAACCCACTGACCTGCGGGTTCCCCTAGATCGAGACAAAACCGTTTCAAGAACCACCAGTCGTATTCCGGAAACCTTTCTTGGCGACCGACCCTCACCGAACCGCGCCTTCGGCCTCTCCGATTGCCTCAGAACAGGTAAGCTGGGTATGATGTTTGAGGGACGCCCTTTTTGTCGCTATGTTTTATCCACGGTTGGGGAGGTGGGTTTGGATGGTTTAGGTGAGGGTAGTCTTGTTTGAGGTTGATTTTAGGGTTGGTTGCTTAGGGTGGGTTTGGGATGGGTTTAGGGTTTTGGGTGGGTTTATGTGTGTGTTAGGGTCGTTTTAGTGCGGGTTTAGTCTGGGTTCAGGATGGGTTTGGGATGGATTTGGACTTGGTTTAGGCTGAGTTTTTGGTGGGTTTAACATGGGTTTTGGATTGGTTTAGGGTGGGTTTGGCGCCTTTAGTGCCCACCCACCCCCCATTGTCCGCCGACATTGCTTGGCGTGTCGGATACTTACTAGAGGATAGAGGATAACCCCCCCCCTAACCCCCCCCCGCCCGACGTCTATTACGTAGGTTTGGGGGGGGGGGAGGGTACGAGGGAACTTTATGTATAATGTGAACGGGCCATTCGCCTTTTGATAACCAAGTCTTAGTTAAGAGAATTTTTAGAATTCTAGATGGTCCCAGCCCAGGAGGGGCCAGCCAGGACCTTTGATTTTTAGATTTTTTTTAGAATTTTTAGAACTTTTAGTTTTTTTGAATTGAGTTCTAAAAATTCTAAAATTCGGACCCCCAAAATTTAGAATTTTTAGAATTTTTAGAACTCAATTCTAAAAAATCTAAAAATTCTAAAAATCGGACCCCCGAAATTTGGAATTTTTAGAATTTTTAGAATTCTAGGTCCCAGCCCAGGAGGGGCCCAGCCAGGACCCTTGATTTTTAGAATGTTTAGAATTTTTAGAACTTTTAGATTTTTTAGAATTGAGTTCAAAAAAATCTAAAAATTCTAAAAATCGGACCCCCGAAATTTAGAACTTTTAGAATTTTTAGAACTCAATTCTAAAAATTCTAAAAATCGGACCCCCGAAATTTAGAATTTTTAGATTTTTTAGAATTCAAGATGGTCCCAGCCCAGGAGGGGCCCAGCCAGGAGCTTTGATTTTTAGAATTTTTAGAATTTTTAGAACTGTTAGATTTTTTAGAATTGAGTTCTAAAAAACCTAAAAATTCTAAATTTCGGGGGTCCGATTTTTAGAATTTTTAGAATTGAGTTATAAAAATTCTAAAAATTCTAAATTTTGGGGGTCCGAATTTTAGAATTTTTAGAATTTTTAGAACTCAATTCTAAAAAATCTAACAGTTCTAAAAATTCTAAAAATTCTAAAAATCAAAGGTCCTGGCTGGGCCCCTCCTGGGCTGGGACCATCTAGAATTCTAAAAAATCTAAAAATTCTAAATTTCGGGGGTCCGATTTTTAGAATTTTTAGAATTGAGTTCTAAAAATTCTAAAAATTTTAAATTTCGGGGGTCCGATTTTTAGAATTTTTAGATTTTTTTGAACTCAATTCTAAAAAATCTAAAAGTTCTAAAAATTCTAAAAATTCTAAAAATCAAGGGTCCTGGCTGGGCCCCTCCTGGGCTGGGACCTCTAGAATTCTAAAAATTCTAAAAATTCTAAATTTCGGGGGTCCGATTTTTAGAATTTTTAGATTTTTTAGAATTGAGTTCTAAAAATTCTAAAAGTTATAAATTTCGGGGGTCCGATTTTTAGAATTTTTAGATTTTTTGAACTCAATTCTAAAAATTCTAAAAGTTCTAAAAATTCTAAAAAATCTAAAAAACATATAAAAATCAAAGGTCCTGGCTGGCCCCTCCTGGGCTGGGACCATCTAGAATTCTAAAAATTCTAAAAATTCTAAATTTCGGGGGTCTGATTTTTAGAATTTTTAGAATTTTTAGAACTCAATTCTAAAAATTCTACAAGTTCTAAAAATTCGAAAAAATCTAAAAATATATAAAAATCAAAGGTCCTGGCTGGCCCCTCCTGGGCTGGGACCATCTAGAATTCTAAAATTCTAACATCGAGTATTTTTTGAGAGTTCAATTCTATAGTTTCAACATGAAAAAACATTGAGCATCCTGCACGCCCCTGGGCTAGGACGTGAAAGGCATGTCGCCCCCTTTGTTCGCGAGTAAGCAGAGAGGTTGGAAAGAGTGAGGAAGGGATGGGAAGGTGGAGGACATGCCTCTCACTAGCGTAAAAGGGGTAGGAAGAGAAATGAAAGATGCTTCTCTTTTTAGCTGTTGGATGGGGTGAAGGCAGTTCACCCTTTCATGCTACTCCTTTCTCTTTTCCACGCCTTTACCCACAACCGCAAGTAGCTGTGTGTTGGATAAAGGCTTGGGAGACGAAGGATAGAGAGTGAGGGATAGAGATGAATGCTGGGCCAGCCCTCACAAGGCTTCTCTCTTCGTTCGTCCATCATTATCTCTTCATCCACATCCTTTATCTCTCCTTAAAGACCGGGAGAGAAGATAGGAAAGGACAGGCAATGGAGCTTCAGCTCGTCTCATGCCTTCGCCAGCTCTAGAGCCAACATAAGAGAGGGAGAAGGGGTGACATCTCTTTCTCTCACGTAGAGTCCTTGCCATTATTTCAGAATGAAGAAATGGCGTGGGAAGGCGCGTGAGAGGGAGATGACCAGCTCCTCCATCATTATCCTATCTGTTAGAGCTGTGGGGCCAACGGAGAGAGCAAGAGAAAGAGGGTCAACAGGTAAAGATGATTGGGGAAGAGATAGAGAGTGAACGGAAAAGCTGGGACAATAAGGACATTCCAGCTCGTCTAGCTTTCATCTACTTCCCTTCTCTTGACCTCCCTCGTTTCTGGGCAAGAGGTTGGGAAAGAGAAGCTGAATAGAGGTGAAGAAAGAGGAATTCATTTGTAACTGCTGGAAAGAACTGGCCAGCGGATGGGATTTCCTCTGGCCACCTCTCACCTAATCACTTTACCTCTCTCGTCATCAATTTCCTTTCTCCTTTCCATTCTCACCGTTGCAACGGCTAGGAAAGAAGAAGGGGTGAAGAGATAGGAGAGAGAACTAGAATGAAGAACCCAGATGACATGAAAGACGTTCTGGATTCTGTGACATGGTTAAGGGGAAGGAGATGTTGGTGATAGAGAAGGAGAAGGAGTTGCATTCCTTTCTCTTGCATACAATCCCCGCCACTCCAGAATTAAGAGATGGCAAGGGAAGGCGTGTGAGAGGGAGATGACCAGCTCCTCCATCATTATCCTACCTGTTAGAGCTGGAGCTGAGCGAGAGAGAGAGAGAGATGGAGGGCGGTCATATGATGGCTAATGAAAGAGAAGGCGCCATCATCACTCTCACTTTTTACCTCTCATTACCTACCTCCCATCATCTCTAGCTTCTAAATCTTGGATGTGGATGAGGGAGGAGATAGGATGAGAGGGAAAACGTGACAAGGTGAGCCCACCCACTCTCTCCTTCACCCACCTTTTTAATCTCCTTTTCTCTCGCTTGCAGGTGATGATGAGTGAAGAAGCGAGCGAAGAGTCAGGGCAACAAAGGAAGAGACAGGGAAAGAGATGTTACTATCATAAAAATGATTCCATTTTCTAAGAGTACAAATCAGAGACGCTTTATCATTTGAGATGCTTTCCATCTCTTGCATTCGCTTTCTCCATTCTATTTCCCTCTCATGTCACTCCCAAAGCTATTAAAAGAGAACGGGAATGACAGGTAAAGATGATTGGAATTGGACAATAAGGACATTCCAGCTTGTCTAGCTTTCATTCACTTCCCTTCTCTTGACCTCCCTCGTTTCCAAAAGAAACTTATAACTGGGCAAGAGGTTGGGAAAGAGAAGCTGAAAAGAGGTGAAGAAAGAGGAGTTCATTTGTAACTGCTGGAAAGAATTTCTTTTCTCCTTTCCATTCTCACCGTTGAAACGGCTAGGAAAGAGATAGGAAAGAGAATTAGAATGAAGAACCCAGATGACTAAGGAAACAAGATGGTTGGATGGCCATCCATCTCCTTGCCCACTCTCTCATCTCTTTCCCCGCCCAATAGAAATGAAGGGGAGAAAGGGTGGTGGTAAGGTGGTAAGATAGAGGCTTGAATCATGAGGCCAGACAGCCATCCTCCCCTCTCGCCATTTTTTCTTGGCATATCTTCACTTTCCAAGAATATCTTTTCCCATTCTCATCCATCTCCCAGCCAATGAAAATGAGGTGAGGGGATGGGCCGTGAGATGGCCAATCAATGAGTTTTTTCCTCTCTCTCGCCCTTCTCTCCCTCTCTACCTCCCATCACCCAACCTCTGCTTCCGAGAAAAAGAGTTGGGGTGATAAAGGGAAACAAGAAGGGGGGAGAAATAAGCAATGGAGATTCCTTAGCCCACCCTTCCTTGAGATCTTATTGGTAGGCATTTCCTGTCTACAGACTCTCTAGACCCAATTATGAATTGATTATTGTAATCTACAGTACCAAGTCTTGGTCATTTCTGTATCACCTATTAATCACTTGTCTCTACTTTGCTCCATTGATAAGACTTCTGCAGTCCATGACATCAATAATCGCAAGGCAAGAGAAACACCAAGAGCTGAGAAAGATAATTAAATATGAGATACGCTAAAATAGATTATAAAAAATGTTGAATTGGAATTAGTTTCTGGATTGACCTGACCGTGCAAATCTGCGACGCTGCTATCCCTTTTTTCGCGCAGATCAAGTGGCAAGTGCTGAAAAAGGAGCCGGTTCACATTATACGCATTGTTCCCTGCCACGGGGGGGGAGGGGGGGGGGAGGGGGGGGGGGGTCCCCCACGTACCGCGCGGCAATTTGATGACGTTCCACTAAACGTAGTCTTCGGGGAGCCGGTGTCGCAAAACAGGGGTCCCAGGCTCGATTCCCCCTGCCGGCTTTTTTGCTGGCTTGGGCTTCCTGCATCCTTTTGCCGAAAATCTGGAAAAACTCAATGTTTTTGGACGTCCTCTTTGCGAAAACGCTGAAAAACCGTGTTTTTTTTGCGGGAAATACTGAGGAACAAAGGGGACGTGCAAAGTTATACATCATCTATACATTACAATTGCATTTACATTCATTTGCATGACATTGCATGACATTTTACATGCATACATATTACATTACATTACATTACATTACATTACATTACATTACATTACATTACATTACATTACATTACATTACATTACATTACATTACATACATACATACATACATACATACATTACAAACATACATACATACATACATACATACATACATACATACATAGATACATACATACATACATGCATTACATACATTACATACATACATACATACATACATACATACATTACATACATACATACATACATACATACATACATACATACATACATACATACATACATACATACATACATACATTAATTCATACATACATACATACATACATACATACATACATACATACATACATACATACATACATACATACATACATACATACATACATACATACATATCAATACATACATACATACATACATACATACATACATACATACATGCATACATACATACATACATACATACATACATACATACATTACATACATACATACATACATACATACATACATACATACATACATACATACATACATCATTACATACATTACATACATACATACATACATACATACATACATACATACATACATACATACATACATACATACATACATACATACATACATACATAAATTACATTCATTACATACATACATACATACATACATACATACATACATACATACATACATACATACATACATACATTACATACATACATACTTACATACATACATACATACATACATACATTACATTACATAACATACATACATACATACATACATACATACATACATACATACATACATTACATACAGACATACATTACATACATACATACATACATACATACATACATACATACATACATACATACATACACTACATACATACATACATACATACATACATACATACATACATACATACATACATACCTACATACTTACATACATACATACATACATACATACATACATACATACATACATACATACATACATACATACATACATACATACATACATACATACATACATACATACATACATAACATGCATACATACATACATACATACATACATACATACATACATACATACATACATACATACATACATACATACATACATACATACATACATACATACATACATACATACATACATACATACATTAATACATTACATACATACATACATACATACATACATACATACATACATACATTAATACATACATACATACATACATACATACATACATACATACATACATACATACATACATACATACATACATACATACATACATACATACATTACATACATACATACATACATACATACATACATACATACACATACATACATACATTACATACATACATTACATACATTACATTACATTACATTACATTACATTACATTACATTACATTACATACATACATACATACATTACATACATACATACATACATACATACATACATACATTACATTACATTACATTAATTACATGCATACATACATACATACATACATACATACATACATACATACATACATACATACATACATACATACATACATACATTACATACATACATACATACATACATACATACATACATACATACATACATACATACATACATACATACATACATACATACATACATACATACACATACATACATACATTACATACATACATTACATTACATTACATTACATTACATTACATTACATACATACATACATTACATTACATTACATTACATTACATTACATTACATTACATTACATTACATTACATTACATACATTACATACATACATTACATTACATTACATTACATTACATTACATTACATTACATACATACATACATACATACATACATTACATACATACATACATACATACATACATACATACATACATTACATACATACATACATACATACATACATACATACATACATACATACATACATACATACATACATACATACATACATACATACATACATACATACATACATACATACATACATACATACATACATACATACATACATACATACATACATACATACATACATACATACATACATACATACATACATACATACATACATACATACATACATACATACATACATACATACATACATACATACATACATACATACATACATACATACATACATACATACATACATACATACATACATACATACATACATACATACATACATGTACATGCATGCATCCATACGAGAGAGGGAGAGTGGGGAGAGAGAGGCTTGGGGGGATGGGGAGGATGGGAGCAGAGGGAGGGAGAGAGGACGACAGAACACACAAGGGAGACAAGGAAGAGAGGAAGAAGGAGAAAAGGGAGAGGACAATGTCGGCGGACTGAGCCGGAGGCTCTAAAGTTTTTATGTGGGATGTGCCTAAATACGGAACCTTGATCATGGGCTTTGCTCAACAAACTCCTGATCACTGAGTTCTCCAGCCTAAGTTCCTCATTTTCGAGGATGCCCCCCCCCACCAACAACAAGTGAGCCCAGTCCAGCAACTCAGCATACCCCAGAAAAGTTCAGGGGACGTTCAAACAGCTTGTCCTATTCCAGAAACTCGCCCTGAAAGGAAACAGGGATGGAATATGAAAGGCTCGTTCCCACTCATTCCCTGCCTATCGCAAGAGGCCGCTGGATCTCTGGCCGCGAAGCTTCGCTCCCGGGCCCCGGCGTTTGCTCGGAGGAGTCTGCGCTGGAGCTCATGGAGACGCGCGTGGCCTTCCGCTGGAGCTTCGGTCCTGTGGACCGAAACGTGTCCAGAAAAGCAAACTCCCCCCGTCCAGAGAGACTCACTGAGTGTGTCAAAATGGCACCCCCTCCAATTTCGGTGGGTGGTTTCAACCAAACGGGGTGTCCCGACAACAACGAAACACTGAACAAAAACGCCCAGATGAAGCCATGGGAGACCGATTGCGACTAGTGTGTGGCGGTTGTGTTATCAGTCAACAAACGTGTGATTTTGTTGAGAGTGATTGCCTTTTTGGCTTGAATTAATCAGAAGTCAAAGGAAAACCCAATCTTTCTGTTGGGCCATCCCTGCTCCGGGAATCCCCACTGTGCAGAAAGGAGGTTTCCAGCTTGGTTGGTTCTGCGATCGGGCTCCCGTGGGGGGGGTAAGGAATATTGGAGGGCTGCAATGGACTATTTGGATTGGACGTAATTGGGTTCCGTTGGACTGGGTATCTTGCGTTGGGCTCGACTGAAGTAGATGTGATTGCATTGGGCGGGATTGAGTGGACAAACGAACGCATAAGCAAACCACTGGACGGATGGCTACTCGATGGATGGATGGATGGATGGATGGATGGATGGATGGATGGATGGATGGATGGATGGATGGATGGACGGATGGCTACTGATGGATGGATGGATGGATGGGGATGGATGGATGGATGGAGGGAGGGAGGGAGGGAGGGAGGGAGGCATGGATGGATGGATGGAGGGAGGGAGGGACGCATGGATGGATGGATGGAGGGAGGGGGAGGGAGGGATGGAGGGAGGGATGGAGGGAGGGATGGAGGGAGGGAGGGAGGCATGGATGGATGGATGGATGGAGGGAGGGGGAGGGAGGGAGGGATGGAGGGAGGGAGGGAGGGATGGAGGGAGGGAGGGATGGAGGGAGGGCGGGAAGATAAAAGGAAGGAAGGAAGGAAGGAAGGAAGGAAGGAAGGAAGGAAGGAAGGAAGGAAGGAAGGAAGGAAGGAAGGAAGGAAGGATGGGTGAAAGGATGGATGGATGAATGGGTGGATGCATGCATGCATGGATGCATGCATGCAAACCAACACAACCATCTGCGTGTTTTTTCTTTTTTTCCCAGCCAAACACATGTGTAAGATTCTTGTCCATACTTAGTGCACCTCAAAATGCAACAACATTTCAAGAGAGACCCCAAACCTCTATCTTTCCATCTTTCGGTCTTCGTACGAGGCCATAGGAAAAAAGGGCACGGCACCTTTTGTTGGTTGGCTTCAAAAGAAAACCATATCCGAAAAGATGGGCTATGTGTGAAACCAGACCCCCGGCACAAGATTCCTCCCCCGACCTTAAAAAGGGAGCCTCAAACGCGCAACTAGGAGAAAGCAAGCAGCCGGCTGGACTCGGCGTTCGTCCGAGTCAAAAAAGCCGAAAAACGTCGGCGTCCCTTGCATTTGAGCAGCGCCCGAAACCTGCTGACTTGTTTTTTCTCCCAACGCGATTCGAAAGGTTGATATTAAAACTACAACCCCTACTGAACCGGGTAGTATAAAATGACCAATGGGGTTTGGGCGCTGCTCACATGTAGTCTACCCTAAACTATACCATAATGTTCCGTGGAGACCCTAGTGGTTGTCCGGGAAACAACTAGCGAACAAGTCGAATCAGCCGGGTCCTCCGCTGTTGCCCTCCTGGTTGTCCTGCTTGTACATGCGCTCCAGGCAGCATCTGCAAGCCAAACGGCTTATGGTGCATGTGCGAGCTTAAAGGAAAATGAAGAACAACCTTCAGGGCAAACAGTTGTCAAAGTAGGCAAGCCTTTGGTCTGGTATTGTCAAGAACAAGTAAGAACACACACACACACATGGTGACGCTTGCTTCTAAGGGCCACGTTGTTGACGGCCTAGCTTAATGCTCAGGACTTCAGGACTGCAAGCATCTACACGGATAAAGTGTCACTCATCAGAGACAAAGTTAGGGAACCTCCCCCGGAAAAAGGACCCAAATCCGCTGGTTTCCCTTTAGGTTCCCCGTGTTGTTGTTTGCTGCACAGGACCCTTGAAAGGAATGGGCAAGTGGAAGCTGGCCCGTCGGAACCACGCCTCTGCATGAGCCGCATGACGGCTTGGTCCTAGAGCTGCATGCACGTCTCTGGATCACATTTGGGTGGTTGTCAATACAGGCAGTTCCTTTTTCCACCATAGTACCCGCCTGTTGCCACTTTTTCCTCCAAAAATAGCAACCCCTCATATCTGTTTGTTGGGCGTGATGAACAGAAGTCTAGACAATCCCCAAAAGGGGTTCCAACTTAAACAAGCTGCACATCGTGTGCTCTCCACGCTGGGTGAGTTAATATGTTTGTCACCAACACGGGACCCAAGACATGGGCTCACTCTCTTTGTGAGGCTCAGCGCTACGATGCCCACTCCGGATTGCAAGCGCATGTTCAGTGTGTGCTTCTGTCTAGGCACTAAACAAGTACAAGCTGATCATGATGTTAGGCTTAGTGAGTTGGCGTAGTCAAGCCGCTAAAATCCCCCTGAGTTCCCATTCGTTGATCAGTATCTGTGCGCCGCCCGAAACCGCCGCGAAACCGTTCGCAATCGCAAGTCGTCTCGTCGGGTCCATCGAAGTTGCGCCCTCCGCAAGTACCGCGTTGTAGTCCTGGCCGCAACGCTGCGCTTCTTGAAGGTACCCCGGACCAGGTCCTCCACGTGCTTCATTTCCCCTAGACAGACCCCCTTTCACACCAACAACGGAGAACCAACAACACATCTTAAGCAAATGGAAGCAAAGGACGCCATTATTTTGGTTCTTCGACACAATATGGGCAGACTTAGTGCGGCAAAAAAAAATTCTCGGGCTGGTGGAAATTGAAATGAAGGAATCAGTGGCTCTGACCTCTAGGTAATAAAAACAAACTGGTATTGTTGTGGGGGATACCACCTGGGCTTGCTTCGACTGGTTGACAAGGAAATAAAGGAAAACCACAAAGGCGATAAATTCAACATGTAGGCTAGCTAAGTCAGGCAATGATGTACGAAGACCGCCTGGACGTGCAGAACTCCAAAGCGATTCCTTTGAATGCCAGAACAACCCCCATGCAAACTCTGAAGCCTCCTTTGAAGCAATCCTCCCAGGGCCGCTCTTCAAAATTCAACTTCAATGAATCCTGAAGTTGATAACCATCGCTTAGTGATTTCAAGCAATTTGCCGGTCTTTATCCAATACCTTTTGGATGGATCGCTTCTGCCACACGGAACCAACCCACAAAAGCGCCGTATGGCCTGGGGAGCTGTATGAGTGTTTGTAAGGGCAAACATTCGGTCTCAAAATGGGAATGTAGTTCATGTTCATTCATTGTTCAAAATACATGTTCATTGCTCATATCGATTTCCGTTTTTTTTAGGGGACGAGCATTTTTACTAGGGAAGTCCTTTCATATGGACTTGTCATGCTTGTTCATAGGGAACCCATCACACAAAGAGGGATGGACGGGTGCAACTGAACTGAAACCGTTCCCAAGATGCCAGCAACACCGTCACAATCAAAACCTGGTACCAAGGCGGTCTACCCAAAACCACGCAAAGAAACAAGGGGCAACGCCTAAATTGCTGAGACTGTTCCCTGCAGACCTTCACTTGCCTGGAGTAAAGGGATCCGACCCTCGGACAAAAACCTCACTTTCGCTAGGTGAACGGGGAAGCAAAGGAAAACCAAAACGCTAAATGCCTCAAACGCAAGTCTGCCACTTCACCCGTGATCGTAATGTCGGGTTGCGAGTAAATGGGCAGGCCCAACTCGGACCCCCCCATGTGATTCTAGGGTTTTCCCTATTGGATTGTTTGGGGGGGTCCTTTACTAATCACTCCCCCACATGAACTCACCTGACATTTCAGCGACATTTCCACTGAACCCGCAGTCCATCTGGGGCTTCAGGAACATGAAGTTGCCCGGCAGATCCTGGCGACTGGGGTGTCTTTTACTCACCAAAGGAGTGGATTCGAAGCCCCGAAAACCGATTTTTAAGGGAAACAACTCCTGCTCGCGTGGGTTGCATTTAGTTGCATACACACCCAAGTTTTCGTTTGGGTACGCCCCAAACACCAACAAAACCTCCCTCCTTGGGAAGACCAACATGGCACCGGTGCATTTGGTGTATCTGTGTGTGAGTGTGGGTGCGTGTCTGGGACAGCCCAAAGGCTCCCAACTGCTTCCCGGGCCTTAGGGCCTGGGAAGGGGTGATGTCCTGTATATTAACCAACTGCCACACTGACAGGCTCTTTTGAGTCGGATCGATCAATGGAGGAGACCTCCAGGTTCTGCCTTCCACCCCCTCACCCGGCGGCGCGAGGCGACCGAGATCATGGCGGCCAACAGCAATGACTCCCTCAGCCGCTTGGCCCGACTCAAGATCAGCAGGGGCTATGGCGCAATGGTAGCGTGTCCGCCTCGTCGTATGCGGAAGGTTGGAGGTTCAAGTCCTTCTAGTCCTATGTGCTTGTCCGTTTCTTCCACCGGATGACATAAAATGTTTGGGAAATTGCAAATACACGGGTCCGCTCTGATACATCGCGGCTTGGAACGGTGGGCCATGATCCGCACTTTCGGGCCCGTTGGGGGACCCTCGAGTGCCCACGGGACCTGTCGAATGGGGGGGTTGCCTGAACAAAAAAAAACCGCTTGAAAGAGGCCTTTCCTCCTTGGGAGTCAAACCAGGTAGCAGAACCACCCACGAAATGGCTGAATCTGAGACCCGGCCTTGTGGCAAGGGTGATCCTCGAACGGGGACACCTGCCAGCGCACACCCCACTGTGGACCTCCATGTCTCGTTGCTCTCACTTCTGAACGACTGGCCAAGGAAAGTCCGAACTGTTTCTGTGCCACTGGGCCACTCAAATGGTCCCACCAAGCGGAAAGTCCAAGAACTCAGGAAGCGTGATGCAAGAAATGGAGACCCTTCCTTTCACCGGCACTGGGAGGGTGCCTGGATGTGACACAACTGGCGGTCTGGGACACCCAACATGTCGTGCTCAACCAAGCTGGCAGGTTGTTGGTAACTTAAAATATAACCGACTGACCTTAGTCCCCTTAGTGGGGTTCACTCTGTTAGTAACGGGTCATACCCCAAGTGGTCGGCCACTGACCTTGGCCGAACATCGGAGTGATCCTTCTGTGCCAAAGTGGGTCATCCCGCTAGCTCTTCACTTTGTTAGGGGATTCCCCACAGCCTAAAAACCGGCGTCTCACAGCCACGCAGAGCAAAGTCAAGCAGCTTTGTTGGAGACAAAAGCAAGTACACGCCCCAAGCTCAGTTCTAATGGCTCAAATTCGTGGTGTCCCACCCTTTCAGTATCCTGATGAACACCTAGCCAGTCAACATCACTATGAAAATCATGTGCCACTTAGGCTGTTGTGCCCCAGTTTCCTGGGATGCCATACATCTTTGTTTACAGTACATTAACAATGACAACATCTATATGGCGTCAGCCTGGAGGTAAGAGTAATGGGGTAGTAGGGGTACACCCTTTGCGCGGCAACAGTCCTTAAAACTACTGAAGTCTACCCATGACGACAATTCTTGATGCTGACACTAATGACATTGCGGACCTTAAGCCACCGACTGAAACAAAACTGGCTTTGCTGGTCAACACAGTCCAGAACATCAACCCAGGTATAGGTATGCCTAGGCAGCCTACTGCCTCTTTCTCAACATCTCACGGCAGTGCACGTGATGAGGTAGGTCCCCTGCTTGCCCAGACACCCATGTCTGCCGTGCCCAACTTGGCCCAACAATTTGCACACAGAGAAACAAAACAACAAAAACATGCATCCAGGTTCCGCTTCATAGCCTCGCCAACCTCTTTGGAGACCCCCGACCTCGAGGTCGGTCGACCTCTTGCGCGTGCGCCTGACGCGCTTGTAGACTCTGCGCTGCGAGGCCCATGAGGTAGAGCACGGTGCTCTGGGCATCGGGCGCGGGCCAAAGCGGGTCGATGGGCTCCTTTGGGATGCTACGTGTCTGTCGCAAAAGGGAGCCTACAAAGGTCAATAGGTTTTGGGTCTGTCTTGAAGGGAGCCTGCACAGGTTTCCCTTTGGATTCTCTTTAAAAACACTGGTACCCTTGAGAACAAATACCCATGATCGTCCTTCGGCGGAGCACGTTGAACGGGTCCCCTAAATCGTGTATGTCGACCAGCAGTTTACAGGGCAAGTCAATTACTACAACCCAGACTCCCAGTGGCCATGGGAGAAAAAGGACACTTTCTTTGAGAGTTGGTTTTAAGAAGAAACCCCGCAAAAAAAAAAAGAGAAACCCCAAAAACGGGATCCTTTGGAGGTCTGGGATTCACACGTGGGAGTCAGGAACCCTTTTTTTTGGAGGTGCCTGGCAACGTCCCAAAAAACAAATGTTGGGAAACTATTGTTATCCAAGCCCCCGGTGCCTACCTAACGGGGGTTCAGGAAGCTACGTTTCAAAGCATGGAAGCGTTGCCGAAGCTGGGGACCCAAATCTGGTCGGCTTTTCTCAGTTGCCCAAAGGACCCAGAAATCGAATGGGTGCAAAACTTAGGCAACCTCCCGCCGCTGAACGCTGAACGTGGTGCCTGTCATGGTCCCGACCTCCATAGACCCCATCCAGTGCAGCCCTCATTGACACCAAACTGTGGGGCACCTATTGTTGCTCCCCAAAACGCTTCCTCGCGTCGAAGTTGATATCGCGCGATGAAGCGCCCTGACGTTGAGACGGTGCCAAGGGTTGCCTGCTTTGCGCAAACCTTGGACCCCAAACACCAACAGTCACCATGTTTGGCAGACCGTTTTAGTGCTGGTTGATCCAACATGTTACCATTTGCTGTTGCACTCCGACAAGCGCCGCCCTCCTGAAACCGAATGTGAAATTTGGGTTGCCTAAGCTGCTCCAAACCCACCTTGCCAACCCTATGCTAGGAAAGACATGTGTTTCTCGCAGCCAAACACAACAACCAACCAACCAAACAAACATGCTGAACAAACATGCAAACCAACCCAACAACAACAGTGAAGAACGGGGAGCAACAGAACTGACCGGGTATGGAGTAGCATGGCACCAAGAAGCATAAGAAGCGGCCCGCTACACACGGACTGATCTGCCCGATGCCCACCCATGCTGAAGTTCCATGCGCGGCGAGAAGTCGAACAGGGCATTTAGTACGCTAGCCATCACCGCAGCCTCGAGACGACGGCTGTTGGACATCTCTCCAACGAATGAAAACCCCCATCACCTCAGTCGAGAGAGCACGTTGCACGGATGCATGTGGCGCTACTATACCTTGGGTCGCTTACCAGACCCTCCTTCCCCTGACTATCGCCTCACCTGCAAGCCGAAAACAAACAAAACAAAACACGGCAACACATCCGCGCCTCAGGCATGATCCACCATGAAGCGTTGGTCTTCGGCCGGCTAAAGGACTCCTCCACTCCACCCACAAACCACCGGGGAAAACGCTAGGGGCAAGCGGAAATCATCATTATGATCTGTATATGGTGCTATACTGCGAAGCCCGGATTGGAGAACTTGAGTTCGAAGGGAAGGGAAATGAAGGGAAACCAAACAGGCAACAAGATCAAAAGGCAAGCCTTTGCTCTGAACAAACTGGGCACCTCTTTTTGCAAGTTGAATTTCAAGAAACAGTTCCCACGTGCCGCTACTGAAGAACTGGTCTCGCCTTTGGGACTGTACCCCTTTTTTGGGCAGAAACTCAAAAAGGAAACAAACAGTTTTTGTTTTTTTCTTGTGCGGGGACATGTTTGGGTGGCTCAATGTGGCTCCTGTGCTTTTTATTTGGAATCACCTATATTGGAAATCACGCGTGGGGGGTCCAAATGCTTTTTTTAAAACACGCCCGGGAGGGCCCGTGTTTGTTTATTGGAATCACGACTGGGGAATCCCGGTGTTTCATTTTTTGAAATCACGCCCGGGAGGTGGCAGTGTGTTGTTTTTGAAAACACGCCTGGGGGGTCCCGGTGTTTTCAGTGAAATCAGCCCTGGGGGTCCCGGCGCTTGTAATTGTTGCATTCACCGGGGTGTTTCTTCTTTAGACTTCACCGCCTTGGGGCTCCGCTTTTTTGGTTGAACTCACGCCTCTGGGCCCTGCTGTTTTTTCTTTTGAAGTCAGGCCAGGCACAATCTCAAAATATGTGATTCCAAAAAGAAAAGGACTGGAGCCGGCGGATTTCAATCAAGAACAGGTTCGCCCAGGCGTGATTAAAAAAAAGACACCGGGATCAAGGTGTTCCTTCTTGGGAATCACCAGTCGCTTCGTCTGTGAAAAAACAAATGAGACACGTAGCGCGTGCAAAAATTCCTCGCCAGCGTGCCCCGCAGGGTGTTCGCCTTTGCGCAGATTCTGCAGCCACTGTGGCCAAGGAAACGTGTTCTCGGAGGGAGACAGCGTGACGAACAAGTCCGGGAACTTACAAAACCGAATGGTGCTTCTTCCAGTAGCCCGGCGTCCAAGGCTTGTCCTGCAGCGTGATCCACGGAGTGATGCCCTGCTCCCGAACCATGGAGGCTCTGCCGCTGATGCTGGCAAACAGATAGCGACCGATTTGAAGCTGCAACAGGTCCGGCAGCCGCAGGCAGCATGGCCCGCCCGCGTCAGCTCCTTGATGTGCAGCGCTTACATGGACAGCAGGTTGGGGGCTTCCGCGCTGGGCGTGACAACAAAGTGCCTGGAAGCGCATTTGACAACAGGAGGGGCTCCGTTACGGGATTGCAAGTAGCCTTCTTGGATTCTTGGATGTGCTCCTTGGCTTCAGACGAATCAAGGGCGCCGGTGAGCAGCTCATTGCATGAAGGAACACAAGCTCTTCAAGGAAGCGCCCTTCAGGCCCTTCCCAGTGAGGAAGCCGATTGTGTCGATCATGACCCGGGCAGGAACCGCCAAAGCTGTCGAAGTTCAGAAGGCCGTGCGTCGGCGGCGTGAAAAAGTTCTTGGACTCGCAATTGACAAACAGAGGAGGTTCCGTTACAGGATTGCAAGTAGTTTCCTTTGGTGGGCTGCTAGCTTGCGTTAGCCATTGTGGCTGTGAAGAAGCGCTTCAAATCGCGCGCAGGTTCATGGCAAAATTCACGAAACCAAGTCGTCGGACCCTTCCTCCTGCCCGGCTGGCACGCTATCCCGGCCACTAGCTGGAGCGCCTGGGTGAACGCGGGCGCATTCTTGTCGAGTCCGAATGCTCGGCTCGCGTGTTAAGTGCTGCGAACAGCTGGGGCGGCCGAAGTTGAGTTCGCAGACCTCACAACTTTGAGCTCCAGACTGCCCATGTAGCGACGTGCGCGATTCTTTTCCTGGCGGTCTGGTTGTGTCGCGTGCGTCGCTGACGTGCGTGCGGAGGATTTCGATTGGCGCATCCAGTGTCGCACGCGTAACCGGAAACTACTCGCGCCTGCGGCGTTCCAACGCTGCCGTCACAGCGTTGCAGCTGCCGGGTTTGCAGCGTGTCACGCGCAGGGAATCACTTGCACGTGCCCGCTGTCTGCTAGTAGTTGTCTTGCAGAACCCCCCCGCATGTGGCTCCTGCGGGTGAATTCATTTTCACAATGGTTTGGGTAAATTGGGCCAAGGGTGGGAAGCGGACCCCTCCTCATAATCGCTTGGCAGCAAACATACCCGGGACCACAGGCATGAATGCAACAAAAACAAACATCGACCCCCAGGCGTGATTTCAAAAAACGGAACCCCCCTAACAATTTCAATAAGGAATCACCGGGACCAGGACCCCGGGCTTGATTAAAAAAATAAAACACTGGGACCCCCCAGACGTGATTTCAATAAACAAACACCGGGACCCCCCAGACGTGATTTGAAACAAAAAAGACTCCTGACCCCCCAGGAAATATGTGATTTCAAAAAGGAAAGGACTGGAGCCGGTGGGATTTCAAAGAACAGGACTCCCCAACGCGTGATTTCAAAAAACAATCGGGATCCCGGAGTTTGTTCTTTGGAATCACCAGTCGCTCACTCACTTGCTTGCTCGCTCCGTCTGTGAAAATCACACCAGAATGAGAATCCAAACTGAGAAAATTCAAAATGCGAAAGGGTTTGAAACAGTATTTCGGGAGAGAATAAACAGGCCCTAACCCACCAACAAGAAGAGACAGTTTAAGCCCCCCAGTCCCAAGGGCAAAGTGGTGCCCTCGGCTGGCAATGAACCACACAGATAACAAACGGGGGATCCTGTTTAACCGCAAAACCCAAACAGGAAAGGGGACCAGCGCAGCCAACCAAGCGAGCGCAGCAAGCAAGCGAGCAAAGCAATCAACCAAGCAAAAGCGGAGCAGCAGCAACAATGCGATTCCCAACCCAAACCTGAACCACACCCAAAACCACCCAGCCGCCGTAATCCGGGGCGTGGGATTCGAACACCCACGCACCGGCACGGCGCCGCTGCCAGCGATTTTGACGGTAATGGCAGGTCGAATCGACGGAATAAAAAGCTTGAGCCAAATGGCGCATTGGCCATGGCAATGAGCAAACATGCTATAATAAAAGTACATGCCCCCAAAAACACCCCCCTCGACTGTACAAAGAGAAGGAGTGAATTTGGAAAGGCGCATTGGCCATTTGAAGTTGAATAGCACCAAAAAAGGAACAAAGACGATTAGACTACCAGGGTTCGCGACCCCATACCCGGGCTCGCTTTGGAGCCCGGATCCCGCCACCACCCCGAATTACGGGTATGGGGCGGATCACGCCGGTAGCCAAATCAACCAAGAGAAACAAAAGAAGGAAAGAAACAAAGATTCAACTCCAAAATGGCAGGCATGAAATATCTGCGATGCAACCACATTGAATCATTAGATTCACGTGGATTTAGGGCTTGAATTATATTGTCAAAAGCGCATTGGCTTGCTGGTTGAAGCGTGGTGCATAGACCGAAATATCTCGGCCTTGAACGGCACCGTCTAGGCGCGCGATCACTCGAAGACAACCTCCAGGGATACCGCCAGCGGCATTCGGCGGTTCAGGTCCGAGTAGGACCTCACCGGCAGCGGTGCGGGGCATCCGTGATCCTCACCTCGGCACCTTGATGAGCTCCATCACCAGCAGCAGCAGCGGTGCAGGAGGATGCAGATCACCAGCGGCCATAGACGCCGCCGAGGGTGACTGCCTTGCTGTGGCGACGCACACCTGACAGGTAATCGCAGCTTGCGCGAATAGCGCACAGCCACACATGCAGATGAATTCTGAAATGGCGAATAGCCCAGACAACGAAATACGACAAGGAGCATAGTCCATCCTGTGAATTCCGAAATGAAAGCATGCGCGCGTTGGCGCAGCCATGCAAAACACACAGACAGACTTCAGGTATTACTGATGTCGTCCGCCGCCGTGCCGTCCCTTCCCCTTGTTGACATTCCAGTCCCCAGGGGGAGGAGGCACTGTCTCGGCCAACTCGTCATCGTCACCCCAGGTAGGGGTATGCGGCGAGTTCGGATTCTCGAACTCGCGGGGATCACCCTGCATATGCGGCTGCCAACCCTGCGGCATTGCGCCGGGCCACATTTGCGGCATCATGCCAGCCATGGGCTGTTGCATGTATCCTCCCATCGGGAAATTGGGATACATCGGACTTGGGAACGGGAAAGGAGCAGCCTGTGCGCCCCTGTAGCCCGACTCGCGAGCATCAGGCTGATACCCGCCAGTGGGAGTTCTCGATCTGGCGGATCCGCCACGACCGAACTGCCCTTGTTGGTAGCCGTATTGGCCACCCTTGCCTTTGTACTGGTCACCCTTGTGACCCTTTCCTGTAAATTGGTCACCTTTGTGACCCTTGCCGGAGGACTGGTCACCCTTGTGACCTCCACCCTTGGGCCAGCGCAGGGGCTTTGCCCTTTTGCTGATCCCCCTTTGCCCTGAAATCAGGTCGCGGGGTAGCAGACCGATGATCTCCCCTAGGTGTGGCTGCCCGCCTATGGTGCTTCCCAGACGGCGGGTCAGCGAAAACGATGGCGCTTTGGCCGTCTCGCCGTGCCGCGGAGACCATTTCAACCTTGTTGTTTTCGACATAAATGTATGCCTCAGCATACTCAATCGGGGCCGTGATGGATCCACCACCGGCCCGCAGAGAGTCGATACTCAAATCGAGAACTGTGGAGGCATCAAAACTTGGGTCCTCACTATTGAAGTCCGAGAGGCGTCGCTCAGCCTGTACCAATGACATTATAATGTCCGCACGTGAGGCGCCTAGGCCATACAGCGGAACCAAATATCCGTCCTCAATCCCGATGCGGTAGGCATCAAAAATATGCACAGAGAGGTAAAGAGCAAATGCTGAATTTAGACTGCCCTTTCTCGTCATATGACGACCCCATTGCGCCGCCTGTTGCGGGTGCTCGACCAAATATGTCATGACAGACATATTGTCGGGAATTGGGACGCCAGTATTGCTCTCCTCGATGAGCAGCT